AGACTGCTCCTGGAGTACTGTGTATAATCTTATTTAAGGGAGGCTTTAGAGGGTGTGCAATGGAGGTTACTTAAATTGGAATGGAGGGATTGTTTTATGTGGAGAGATCTGCAACACTGGGCCTGTATTTTCTCGAGGTTGATAATAATAAGAGACAATATTATTGTCAAAGAGGGAAGGCAACAAAGCTTCACCAGACTTGTTCCAGAGCTGGGAGGACTGTCCAATTTTGAGACAGTGAGAAAACTGGGCTTATATGGTCTAATGTTTTGAAGAATGAAAGGTGACCTCATTGAAACCTACAAAACATTTAAAAGGATAGATAGGCTAACGCAGGCAAGTTATTTCCCCTGGTTGGTGAGTCTAGATCCAGACGCACAGTTTTAAAAAAGAGGGGATGCCATTTTTGACTGACATGAGAAATATTTTTACTCAGAGGGTGGTGAATTTTTTAAATTTCCTGCGTCAGAAGGCTGTGGAAGCTCAGCCTTTGGGTATACCAAAGGTAGAAGTTGATGATTTTTTTGATTATCAATGGTGTCAAAGGATACAGGTATAATATGGATAAAAGACCTTGAAATGTTGCTTAAATAGCAGAGCAGGGTCAAAGTGCTACTGCTGTTCCTTTAGTTCTTCGCTCAGCATGCTGAAACTATGAATTCTCTTTGCCAGAAGGCGAAGGAAGCACAATCGTCAAGCATGTTCAATATAGAAACTGATAGTGTTCTGGATGCTAATGACATCAAAAGGATATGGAGATAGTGTAGGAACATGTTGTTGAATTAGATGATATGCTATAATCCAACTGAATGGTGGAGCAGGCTCAACAGGATGAATGACAATAAAATCATAAGATATAGGAGCACAATTAGGCCATTCAGCCCATCGAGTCTGCTCCACCAGCTGATCATAATTCTATGTTCCAATTTCCAACTTTTGAAACTCTTGGTTTCTTCAGTAAATCGTAACATCTCAACCCGTTCCTCAAACTCCACAAGCTCCCATTCTACCAATAACCTTGCTGAGATCTGTTTATTTTCCAGAACTCAAACTTACAATGTTGTGGTACATATAGCTTAAAAGGTACTCCATTTACTTCTTAGAATCAGGGAGTTCAACCACTTGTACCAGTGAAGTCTGCAAGGGTTTCTCTTACACAGTTTGGATAGGGATAGAATAGAATATTGTCTTGTCACTGTTTGTGTTGTGTTACTGACAAGAAGTTAATGCCCAGACTGATCCATCTTGTTCAGATTTCACACTGCTCTATGTGTTGCAACCTAAACTCCACTCAGTGATCTCCCACCAGCTACTTGCAAGAGAATGTTCCAGCTTCTCCAGTGGTATTTGTTGTCATCTCCTTGGTCTTTAAGATACAAGTTTAATTCAACTCATCCATGGTGACTATAATTTCCAGTGAGGTACCAATCATATTGAACTTCCTAACTTATGTTCAGTTTGGTTAGTTGATATTAACCAGTGCGGTCATTGGAAAATTATAATTGGTCTCTGTACCCTTAGCATGGGCGATGAAATTCAGTCTGTGTCTCCATGAACATTAGGTGAAGGTAGGATGAGCTATGGCACCTTCCATAGAAGAGGAGCCTTGTGACATTCAACCACCAGGATCACACATGAAAAAAATGGGTATAGAACAAGGAGTTAACTGGAACACATGGAGTGTATTTCAGCAAAATTAGTGCTTTGGGAAAGAACAAAGGAAAGTTAGAGACGGCTAGTTATGTTTCAAGTTCTAAAAACAATTTATTGAGCTATTACATAGATCTGTGTTTAAGCCTGAAGCTTACACCATAGATAATTAACAGATCTAATAAAAGTATAATGTTCCTGAACTATACTCTCTGTTCTTCAGATGCCAACCAGTAAAGATCCAACAGAAGTGTTAGTACATGAACTGCAGTAAAGCAAGCAACGCCACAGTTGAAGGTAGCACATACACCACCCTCACTAATAATTGCTAGGACTACACAAAAGGACACACAAGCAGCCCACATTGATTCATGCATTGAATGGGATGCTCTTTCACTTTAAAAGGAAATGCACACATAACTGGAGAAGAGCCTGACAAAATTAGGAAGTGTTAGACTGGAGGGTGGCAACCTTCAGGTGAAGCATGAAACCAAGGTCTTGTCTGCCTTCTTGGGTCCATGTAAAACTTTGTATGGCAATTTCAAGATGTTTCGGGGATGTCAGCTATTCCGTTCAATATTCACTCCTTAAATCAATAATTAGACAAAATGTTCTTAATTTCATTGCTGTTTGCAATACCCTGCTGTGTACAAATTCCCAGCCAATACAACATTTCCTACATTAAAACAGCAACTGTTCTTCAAATTTATTTCACCGATTGCAAAGAGGTTTACTGAGGTTCTGAAAGATGTTACTTAAATACAAGTCATTCTTCTTATTGCAACACTATTTGGTTTCCAGTTTCCTTACAAAGTACATGAGAATCTGTGTTTGCTTTAAGTCACATGAGTTTGCTAAGCACAATACTTGTAAGCACATGCTCCACTTGGCCTCTCCTCAGAAATGCTCTGATCTGCTCATTGTTTACCATTTACTTAATTTTCACAGCAGCTGAGTGCAAAAATCTAGAAAGCTTCATTTAACTATTTCACCAATGCATTCGCTTTAAATACACTATGACCACACAGCAGTAAGAACTAGGCTTATGCCTATGCGGTCCCTCGCTCTGCAATACCGTACTCTCAGTTTATAATCTTATTGCTAATGGGTGGAGTGACACCAAATGGAGTTTATTTAGCACTTTCTGACATCAACAGAATTGGTTTTGGTCATGGCTTCTCATGGCATTGCTGCTAATCAGAGCCTGAAGTCGGAGCAAGGAGAAGGAATGCTTAAGGTGTTATGCAATAATTGAGTTGTTGAGCCACTGGAGGTTGGGAATACAGCCAGTGGAACAAGAAATGTCCATGTACAAGCAGAGCCACTTCTGTCAGGCAACTAGTTACAGATCCTGGTGCTGCTGAAATGTCACAAAGATATTCATTACTTGCATAGATTGCCATTTCATCTTCCCACATCAAACAGAATGCTGAATTATCATCATGTTAGTGGACCTCCAGTAAGTGGCAGTCCTATGATAAGAACTCTACCAGCTCTCCAGCCCCCACCCCAAATATCTTGAAATGAACATCTCAAATTTATTTTGGGTTGGACTCTGACACCGCGCAGGGATTAACATCTCCCATCTTACACTTAAATCCAAACCTCGAATTGAAAACAATTGTACATTTCACTAATATATTTGGTTATCTCCAGAAGCACCTGAACGAGTCCTGAAATGCTCTGAGGAAACACAGCCAACGGTGTCTTCATTTGTGTGTATAATTAATCTCTAGAAATCATAGAATACTGTCAAAGCTGTCAGTGCACGCAATTTCTTTCTCCAAATCTGGTCACTGAGCTGGAATTCGTCAAAGATTCTTGATTCCAGGAAGTAGAAAACTATATACCACAGTTCCCACACCTAATTTTTTGCAAGTGCAGACTCATCTGAGCTGCAGGTGATGCCTTTCACCAGCTGATTATAACAACTGTCTGGTACATCAGTGAAGACTGCAGAATAATCACTAGGGTTAGGTAGCAAGTGTCCTTTCAGAACAAGAACAGAAATTGCTAGTGAAACTCAGCAGATCTGGCAGCATCTGTTGGAAGAAAGCAGAGTCAACATTTCGAATCGGGTGACAACAAGTCCGTGCCTGCAGCGGGGGGGGCGATGTATGGAGAAAAGCTTTGAGGTCATACTGGGACTTATGGGCAGACCTTCACCATACCACAGTCTCACCCAAATCTCACGAGGGAGATGTGGAGCCGCGAGCAAGATAAATAGCAGCGAGAGGCAATAAATCCCTCGATTACTAAAAAAATTCACGTTTGAGGTGTGATTTCCGTAAAGAGTTTGGGTTTTGCAAGTTGCTTCCACGCAGACATATACAGCCAGCTCCAGTTGAAGAGGTGGCTCCGCCTGCGGACCCAGTAGAGTTACCGTACCCCAGCTCCTGGAGCAAAAGTCGATACGGACCAATCAGACAAACTCTCCTTTAGGGACGGTCAATTCTAACACAATGTACACACTGTTATATGTACGTACAAACCGTCATATGTGTTAACTAATACGCAGGTAAATAAATAATCAATTCAACAAAAATAAACGCACCTTCAGGAAATGATAAATCAAAAATACAGCTCATTTTCTCCAAGTACAAGGGATGCAATTTGGAAATAGCTGCCAAATTTGCAAAAAGATTACCATGTTATTGAAACGGAACCAGTTATAACTCCGAAGGTGAGCAATCCCAAATATATTGCAACTGGGCACCTCACTCAGACACAAACAGAAGTATCGAGAACTTTTTTCTTGTTTGCTACCTCATTCCCACAACATCAAGATGAAACCATTTTAGCACTTGCAATGAAAATCGGTCAGCAATATACACCCTACCACTTTCTCGATTTAAATGAACACCACTCCAACTTATTTTCAAACAACATTTTTTTTAAACCCAAAGAAAATGAACAACTGAACTGTCCACAAATAAACCGCAACGTGCCTCAGAGACATTGCAATTGTTGGCTGCAACAAGTCCTGGATTGCCTTTATAAACGGGTTAATTCAACATCACCGTCAGACATAGCAGCCTGGCTTATCCATAAACATTTTACAAATCAACACAAAGACTGGCACCTTTCAACTATCCTGCAAATTATATTTCCTCAAATGAGGAATCGCGATAACTTTTTTTTACGTGAAATAAAAAGTGGAATTAAAAGATTATTCTCAAAGGCAACACGCGAGAAATTGCTTTGCAGTCACGGTGCACTGACAACAGGTTTCTACTTTTGCTTTCCTTTGCAAGCGAAGCTAATCAGTGAGAGTGATGCCGGGGGGGGGGGGGGGGACAGCATGTTGAAGCTGGCGGCCCTGGCCCCGCGTTTCCAGGTGTGGGACTCACCTTGGCGAAGTACAACATCCAGAGCTCGTACAGCCGCTCCTTCGAAGCCATTCTTCGGCCACCGGGAGCCGCGCTTTCTTCCTTTTTCTTCTTTTTTTTAAAAAAAAATGTATTATTTCCTCTTTATCCTCTCACACGCGCAGCTTTTTCTTGCAACTCTTCATCCCGACTTTTCCACTTCTCCCCACCGATGTTGTGAAGAAAAAAAAACCCGTAAAATTATTCCCTCGTTGCCAATCAGAATGGTCGCACGGGGAATACAGCATCAGCGAAGATCCTCTCTCCTCATTTATTTATCCCGAAAGCTGGGGTTTCTCAGCTTTATATTTAAAAATTCTTTGGTTAAGTTGCTCCGAGTGGATTTCTGTTTATCTCTCTCCTTGTTTTCACACAATGGGCGCTTCCGCCATCTCGGTTCCGGGGTTTCTTCTTTTTTCTCTCATTTATGTTGTTGCTCCTGTTGTGTCTGGTGTTTTTTTTTTGGCTGAATCTGTTTGCGCTTCTCCTTGGAGGCGCGCGCACGCGATGGAGGGCCGCCCCCTTTCGCCGGAGCGCGCTTCCACTCAGGCCCTTCTGCTGGAAGCGGGTGTGTTGGGGGGGAAAAGAGCGAAGACAGTTCCAAAGGTTCACGCGCGTGCTTCCGGCAACCGGGTCAGGTGACAGGGCGCGTGCGGCCAGGTGACAGGGCGGGAGGGCGCGCGCCACCGAGGGAGAGGGCTCGCGCGCGAGAGGGGAGCGCGCCACCAGGTGAACGGGATCGCGCGCGTCCAGGTGAGAGGGAGCGCGCGCAGTCAGGTGCAAGAAAGCGCGCGCGGCTAGGTGAGGGGGAGTGCGCGGCCCCTTTGCGCTGGCAAGGCCAACCCTTCCCCCCAGTCTATTTCAACCTTATAATTACCTTATTTTTGTCCTGTGCAACAGTCAGATTTCAGTCATTCTTTGTATGCTCATCACTCTGAGACATCTGATGAGCTACTTTATAAATGTTACCACTTAGCATTAATCTAAATTATTGATCTAATTCTAATGCTTTATTTTTTTTTAAACAGGTACTGTCACTTCTTAGAAACCTCCAGGGGATTAGATGATTCTGGAAAGAAAAACTTCAGACCAAAGAGATTGGACCAAGGGGGAGAGCACAGTGGATCAAGGGAACATCTGTAGACCATTCAGCTCCTCTATCCTCAATCTGTAACTCCATGCTCATTGCAGTGTGAAATGAAATACCGTCCATCTCAGTCTTGAAAACTTCAATTAACTTCAATCATCTACAGCCTTGTGGAAGGATGCACAACATTTCTCACATATTTGACATGAGAAAAGTGCTTCCTGATTTCACTTTTATATGGGAGCATGGGACTAAAAGAAAAAAACTTTTTCACTACCAGACCATAAGACCATAGGTATAAGAGCAAAATTAGGCAGTTTGGCCCATCAAATCTGCTTTGTCATTCGACCATGACTGATATGCTTTTTATCCCTAATCTCCTGCTTTCTCCCCATAACCTTTGATCTCCTTACTGAGCAAGAACCTATCCATTTCAGTCTTAAATACACTCAATGAGTTTGCCTCCACAGCCTTCTGTGGCAATGAGTTCCACAGATTCTTCGCTGGCTGAAGAAATTCCTCCTCATCTCGGTTCTAAAGAGTCATGCCTTTACTCTCAGGCTGTGCCCTCGGGTCCTAATCTCTCTTACTGGTGGAAACATCTTCTGCACATCCACTCCATCCAGGCCTCTCACTATTCTGTAAGCTTCAATGAGATTCCACCCCCCCACCCCTCATCTTTCAGAACTCCATCAAGTACAGACCTAGAGTTCTGAAGTGCTCCTCATATGACAAAACTTTGTCCTCAGGATTATTCTGAGAAGCTCCCTCTGGACCCTGTCCAAGGCCAACACATCCTTCCTGAGATACAGGGCCTAAATGCAGTCTGACTAGAGCCTTATATAGCTTTAACAGTTCATCCCTTTCTCTTGGAATCTAGCCCTCCCGAAATGAATGCTAATATTGCAGTTGTTCTCAACTGCCAACCGAACCTACATGTTGACTTTAAAGAATCCTGAACTTGGACTGCTAATTCCCTAAATGCTTCAGATTTCACAAGCTTCTCCCCATTTAGAAATAGTCTATGCCTCTATTTTTTTGACCAAAATGCATAACCTCACACTTTCCCACATCATATTCCGTCTGCCGCTTCTTTGCCTACTCTCTTAGCCTGTCCAAGTCCTTCTGCAGCCTCTCTGCCTCCTCAACACGGTCTGTCCTCCACCTATCTTTGTGACATCTGCAAAGTTAGCGACAATGCCCTCAGTTCCTTCATCTAGATGTATAATGTATAATGTGAATAGTTGTGGTCCCCGAGACTGCCACCCTATGGAGTTCTGCCACTCAAGACTGCCATCCTGAAAAAGACACCTTTATCCCCACTCCTTGCCTTCTGCTCGTTAACCAATCCTCTGCCCCTACCGTCATGGGCTGTTATCTTATTTAGCAGCATCCTGTGCGGCACCTTGTCAGAAGCCTTCTGGAAATCCAAAAAGATCACATCCACTGGCTATCTTTTGTCTAACTTACTTATTATCTCCTCAGAGAATTCTAAAAGATTTGTCAGGCATGACCACCCCTTGACAAAGCCGTGCTGACTTGGTCCTATTTTACCATGCACTTACAAGTACTCTGAAATATCGTCCTTTAAACTCTCACCAACAACCAAGGTCAGGCTAACCAGCCTATAATTTTCCATCATCAGTCTCCCTCCTGTCTTAAATAGGGGTGTTACATTAGCGCAGAACAATGTACCAAATTACAAAGGGATAGTAAGATGTGACCAAAAGGTTGGTTCTTTCAAACAGTAAATGGCGAAAATAAAACAGAATTTGTATAGTTCTATCTGAGAATGATTATGGAAGCAAATGGCTTAAATTCATTTCCCTGTGAATTTGCACTCAATAAATCCTACAAGTATCGTTAATCAAACTACTAAATTACTAAGGGTTTTGCTAGCATCAGTTGTACTCCAATCAAGTCACAAACCTGTGGGTTGTAGTCAGATGCTTCCGTTCAGTTCCAAAGGGGTACAGCTATCAGTGCTTGTCATTTACATTAGATTTTAACTGACAGCCCAACTATTCAGGCAATTTAGAGGGTGATTAGAGGACCCTTAGCACTCAGGTACTGTGTTTGCTTTGTGAATATCCTGTGCAATGATTTGATTTGAAGTCTTTACATCGATCAAATTGAGATTATTAAAAATAACACAGGATCTATTGGGGGCTCTGAAATGTTGCTTGGCTCTGATGTCTCTGATATCAATATTTGAAAAGCAACAGGAAGCTTCCTTAGGTTACTGGGCAATATTCAATTTACAACTAGTGTTACCAGCAACAGATTAATTGTTTTTGTTAGTTTGGCTTTCTCCCCTAGAATCCTTTATTTAATATTTTATTATCACCATCAAAGACTTTGCTTGGGTTGTTTGTTTTTGACAGGTTTGTTTTGCAGTTTTTTTCTACAACTACTTATGCTCTGCCAAAGCAACCTGTATATTGAAAACAATTGAACTCTGAAAACCTAGCCCTGTCAGGCAGTTAAGTCTGACACAGAGCAGCTGATTCCTTGAGGACAAACAAGATGTGATACCATCATCATATATTTGTCCACCGGGATAACCCCTGACTGTTTGACCAGTACATTTTATTTCAGAGATACATCAAAAAACATTAATACTTTTTAAATATCCTGTGTGTGTGGAAATGACAGCTGAGGAGGTGGTGGCATAATGATAATGTCACTGGACTAGTAACCCAGAGATGTGGGCTACTGTTGCGGAGGGGCGGACAGATCGGAGGGCCCCCTCATATGTCTGGTCCTGGGCCTGGCCAAAATGGTTATTAACATATTCAAGCAGCAGGCTGTGGAGGGGGTCGTTGTGCTTGACTGTCTACCCCTCTTTCACATTCTCATCTGTGTTTGTGTGTCCAAGTAGAGGGAGCATGTGTTGCTCACCAGCAAAGTAGAAGCCTTTAGAGTCCAGTGGGCACCACATGGTTTGGGGTGCATGAGGTAAGTTTCCATTTCCTTCTTTAAGTTTCTTTTAATCGTTAGTTTTTATTTTTCTTACAATGATCCATCAGGGCTGTTAACCTGATTTTGATTGTTTAAAAAGAGTAGGAACCAAAAGCTGCATGGTATATTATGGAAATGGTCTTGAAACTAGAGCAATTGAATTTTACATAAAAACAGAATTGCTAGCCAAAAAAAAAACCTAGGGTCAATCTAGTTTGTCTTGCACCATCTCAGTATTCACATGATTCAACAGGAATGCAAACTTATGATGACAATCAATCTCTATCAATTGCTTTACAACAGACATGATATGAAGCTAACCCCCAAATATGGAGAGAGTTGGAAACCATAGGTCTAATGTCACTGTTCTTTGCAGATGTGTTACACATACCACTTGTCATGTCTCAAATTATTTGTGCATTGGATACCCAGGAAGTGTTACTACTGACACAATCAGTTTGGTAAAACAATGGGTATTTTTTTTCCTCATCTAACCTTTGGGGAAATTCCAATTGCATTTTAAAATGTTATGTCTCCAGACAATTTTGCTTTTCTTCCAACAAAACAAAGAAAATTTCAGAATGCAGCTGCTAAAAATAGTAGAATCTTGGCTTAGAAACAAATCAATCTAAAAATATCCAAAACTAATCAAAAACAATAACAATTTTATTGATATAGCACTTTTAATATAATAAAACATCCCAAAGTGCTTCAAAAGAGCATAATAAAACAGTTCATGACACTGAGCCGCATAAGCAAATATTGTGTCAGATGATCAAGAGCTTGGAGAAAGATGTGTATTTTAGGTAGTGTCTTATATGGAAGACAGTGAGATGAAGAGGGGTAGGCAGAATCTTTTAGAACATAGCACCTACATAGCTGAAGGCACAGCATGATCAAAGTTGAGGATGCACAAAAGGTCAGAATTAGAAGAGCACAGACATCTCAAAGCTTGGTAAGGCTTAAGACTAAACAGATAGAAATGGGAGACAGTATGTGGAGATATGAAAACAAGGAAAGTGAATTTTAAAATTGAAATGTTGCTTCACTATGTTGATCAGCAAGCACAGGAGTGATAGGTGAAAGGGATTTTTACAAGACAGATAACAGGCTGAAACATTTGAGATGAACTTGACTTTATGGAGGATAGAATGTGGAACACCAGCCTGGAGGGAATTGGAATATTCACATCTAGATGTAACAAAGACATCAATGGGGGTCCAACTGGGAGATGAACTGAAAGAAGCCCAGGTTATATTCAGGTGACTTGGTTCAAATCTCACTGTGAGTTATATCTAAAAATGAGGTGTCAACCTGGTGAAGCTACAACATAGAACTACTCGCATTATCAAACAGCACTAGTACAAAAACCTGAAAAAGTGATATGCAGGGCTAAGGGATGCCACAACTAATGGATCAGACCCATGGATGATCCATTTGGGCCTCCTCCAGAGGGTCCCAGCA